CTCATTCATTTTGGCATCACGCCCCTCAAATGGACATTAATCTCCTTAATAACTTCATTTGAAGGTCTTGTCTAATCAATCTCCCACTTAACATATATATCATTGTGATCCTTCCTATAGCATTTGTGAGTCTTTGGTTTTCTTTGTTATCTTTTGTTCCCCTCTCCTACCATTAAATTACTACAACCACAATTCCATGTATTTTCTTAGGATATTCCCTTAATCACAAAGGTTATAAATGTTTTACTTTGTCCCAAAAAGGTAATAATATCATGGCATGTCATTTTCTATGAAACACAATTTCCTTTTGCCCATATACCTTCCTCCTCTATCTCTACTTATGAAGTTTCACTGATGACATACACTCATCCTTTGTTCATTCATGGTCTAACCCTAATCCAAAGCCTTTGCCTAACCTAAAACTACAAGATTACTCCCCTTCATCCAACACATTGACCTCCACGACTAGCTTATCTACCTCTTCTACTTCAGATCAATACCCTACCTCTGAACCCTACCCGTCCACCATGACCTACTCCTCCTACTAGGACCATGGCCACCTGTAGCATGACCGATTTTTATGAACCTAGAAAGCTCTTTAACCTTTGTGTTTCCATTGCTGATCTAATGGTATCACCTCTTCCTAAAAATCCTTCAGACCTTAATTGGAAATTTGCCATGCAGTTTGAATTTGATGATCTAATTAAAAATAATATGAGGGATTTGATTTTGCGACCTTGTAATGTTAATATCATTCATTATATGTGAATTATCATACGTAAAAAGAGATTTGATGGTTGTTTTGAGCATTACAAAACTTGTCTTGTAAGTGATGACAAGTCTCAAATTGTAGACATGGATTGTGATGAGACGTTCAATCTTGTGGTGAAACCCACGATCATTCGCATGGTTCTCACCATTGCTCTTTCTAACTCTTGGCTCATTCATCAGTTGGATGTTTAGAGTGTCTTTTTCAATGGTGATCTTCATGAGACTGTATACACTCATCAACTGTTCGATTTGCGTGATTCTCTTCACTATGATCATGTTTATCGCTTGAGGAAATCTCTTCATGGTTTGAAGCAAACGCCTTGTGCTTGGTACCAACACTTTGCTAACATGACATACATTGATGACATCATTCTGAATACCTCATCCCATGACCTTCGCAAATCTATCATGATATTCCTTGTCTTTGAATTTTCTATGAAGGATCTTGATCATTTGAGTTATTTTCTTAAGATTGTTATGATAAGACATGCAAGTGGCTTGTTCCTCAATCAGAGCATTTATGAGAGTGACATCATTGCATGTACTGACATGACCTCTTGTAATCCTTCTGTTACTCTGGTTGATACTAAGCAGAAGCTTAGTACATCCTCCAACATATTGTATGAAGATCCCACTATGTACCAGAACCTTTTCGGCATCGTACAATATCTCACCTTCATTCTCCTTGATATTTCATATGTTGTTCAATAAGTTTGTCTTCACATGAATGTACCCTACATTAAGCACATACTAGCATTAAAACACATTATGTAGCATGTTAAGGGTACCTTCTAGTGTGATTGTATCTCTATCCAACCTTTATTGAGAAACTTATTTCTTAATTTGATGCTGATTGGGGTGGATGTCTTGAGATCATACGCTCTACATGTGGTTACTGTGTGTTTCTTGGTGGCAATCTCATCTCCTAGTCTTCAAAGCACCAACATACTCTCTCTCTCATTCTAATGTAGAGGTTGAATACTAAGGTGTTGCAAATGTTGTTGTTGAATCTTGTTGGCTCTACAATCTCCTACTAGAGTTTCATTGTGATGGACAAATTTGTAAGCACCAAAATATGATGTCACAAACTTGTTTCACAATCGGCAAGTATGACCGAATCGTTTCAAGTAATAAACTTGGTAAGACCAAGTATCGTTCTCCCAAAGGACTCACGGCCTAGTTTAGTTATGTGATTTGTTGATTAGCTAAGACTTAAGAACACAATAATTGAAGTTTAATATGCAAAGACGAAAATTAAATATGTATGCATGAATTGATCAATGACAAAGACAAAAGATAAACACTTTCAAGGAAATATATGAATGAATATGTTGTTGGGGGTCAATTTCATCTCATCCACTCTCATATATTTTAGGAATTCAACATTCAAATCATCATTGTTAATGCCACTCTCTAATGTACCATTCTAGATGGCTTCTCCCTAATCAAATAGTTCATACAATTCCTAGCATTCCTAATGATTAGTTCATGAGTGCAGGAGCTTAAAGGCAACCAATATAATATTGTCAGTATAATATTGGGAGAAATTCCCCGGATCTAGATTTCCCCGTACGTGTCCGTATCAACAAAACCAATAATCATGCATTAGAATGAGTTAAACAATGCAAGCATTGAGCAAAGAGGAAAAACCCTAACTAATGATGAAAGAAAGCATATGTCTTAATTCAAAGATGTACTCAACAAATCCATATATGAGAGCTTCAAGAGATTACTTTGATTCCCCAACAAACATACAAGGTTTAGTTCACCATATTCATGGTGAACCTAGATGAATTACAATGAAAGTATGAAAGAATAAACCCAATAAAGGTGAAGAGGTAGCCTGAGCATCCAAGATCCTCCTTCAAAGGGGTGAAAGAGAGAGTGTTTGCCTCGTTTCTGCCAAAGATGCCTAACTATAGGACGTGCAAGCCCTTATATACTAATCTAGAGTTACAAAAGATTACAAAAGTCCAAGCCCAAAAAGTGCCGCTCAGCGGTATTTACCGCTCAGCGGTGATTGCGCGTCTTCTTTCTTCCCCTCAGCGGCCATTTTGCCCCTCAGCGGTTCCAACGTCACCTCTTGAGTGCCGCTCAGCGGTAGTTTGCCGCTGAGCGGTGCCTTCGACTTCTCCTTTTTGCACTCTTTCTTGTCTTTTCGAATGTCCTCTCTCTTATTCTTCACTTCTTTCACCAAATTCACCTCAATACCTGCACAATAACACTTAAATCAAGCATAAACCTGTCCAACTCTCTTATTTCTGAAAATATAAACAAAAGGCATGATTTCAAGCTAGTTTCTAAGTCTAAAGGTTGCTTTTAGTATCAACTTTAAGCATGAAAATAACAGTTTTTCAACTGTTATCACATTGTTGGCTCTACAATCTCCTACAAATTGTAATAATGTTGGTACCATTTATCTATTTGATAATCCTATGAAACATCAACTCACAAAATATGTTAAAATGGATATTACTTTGTTCGAGAAAAGGTATCACGTGGTCAGACATGAGTTCTTTATGTTCCTCTCCGTCGATTGATCGTTGACATCTTCACTAAAGACCTACCTCGCTTTTTTTATGATCTCTAAACCAATTTAAGTATCCATAAACATACCGCTTAGACTACGAAGGCAAATTATTCTTCTGAAATTAAACTAATTTACAATTAATCTCTAGTAATTAAACTAATTAAATTTATGTAATTAGGTTATTAAATATTTTGTAACTATGCATAATTACATTTACTATTTAGCTCATACGCTTTTATATATATATATATTCAAATCATCTTTTTTCTTACAATATAGAAAAAAAAAACAAGGGAATAATATAACGATGTAGGCTAGGCAGTGTTGGGACGTGATTCCTAGTAAAGCAAAGCTAGAGTAAAGAATATATTGAAGGCTTCCTAGTACCTTCAAAGGTTTATATAGGCAAGGTGGTGGTGGTGGTAGTCATACGAAAATAAGAGCAAATAACAAAACCTCTTATACTATGCAATTAGATAGAAAATTGAGCATGATCTTGGACTGAAAAATATAATGAAAACAAGGGCCCCAATGGTTTTAAATTCCGAATTGAAATCACATTGTGGAAAAGTCAGTTGTACTAGGCCTTCTTCTTATGACATTTGGAAAGTGGATCACAACATTTATAATTACTAAGTTGACGACTGCCTAAGCAATCCTCCAAATTTGAACGTAAATTAAACTAAGCTCACAGTAAAAACATATAAATTTTGGATTATGAGGGGACCCAAAACTCGATTCCTAATCGGAACCGACTCAGATTTTCCATTAAGTGTCGTGTACCCATTTGCAATATGGTGGACCATTCTGCTTTCCATTATTAAAAAGGAAACAGAGGTTAATATAAATAATTAACTCAAGACAAAGCAATCTTATTGTTCTGACCCAGTGAAACTAAATAGCAGCTTTTGTTTTTGTTTTTGTAATAAAGGCCACAAAGAAAAGTTGAGAAAACAAGCTGTGATCTCCTTCACTGTAATATAGGCTTAGCTGTTGCTGCACACATTATGAGTGGTTAGCAGTAATAAATAAATTGCAAAGTTAGATTCTAAAAGGGTGTAGAAAAAAAATGATGCACATTTTGTTTGTTTGCTTAAAGAAGAGGCAAGGTGAAAAAAACTTGAGTGGATAGTCTAGCTGCTATTATTGTGTGCATATCTGATAAGGAGATCACTTACCATTTCAGTAAAATGTCCCTTTTATTTGGTAAACCTTTTTTCTATTTTGGTTCCTTATTTCATAAATAATATGCATAGATGCGTGGTGAAAAAGTAATCAAAACGCATATTTTGCAACACATCTCCCAGTGTTAGTTTTCAACTTGATAAAACGCTCAATCAAGCACAAGTCGAGAAAAGTAAGTCAAACCAAGTTCAAAAGGACCCTTCTAATGTCCGTTAAGGCAGAGGGAAAGAGAAAGAGAAAGAGAAAGAGAAAGGACTCTTCAACGTAAGTTGAAGCTATTGACTGCAACTTTTATTGACTAATATATAAAAAGAAGATGACTCGAGTGTTTGGTGATAGTGGAATGATTGTTTTAAGAAAGAGGGTTGAAAAAGGCCTCAGAAGATACAAAAGAAGAGCGGATGATAAGGATTAACATAAGGAAGTTAAAAGACTTTAGCTGAATTGAAGGGTCAGGATTGTAGATTTTGAGATCTCAAATTGGAAGCAATGTATTTTGAAACGTTGCAAAGTACAAAAGACAAGAAAACAAACATGGGGTGTTGTAGCATAGCTTTGCTGGCATGGCTGGTGAGAAAGAATGAAATTAGTGGATGATTAAGACGACATGTATCATTCAAAGCAAAGTGGGGATACAGAATCAGCAAGTGGATTCACTGATCCAATAACGTCCAATAATCAAAAGTCAAGCACCAATGAAAAAAGTAGAGGGTCGGTACCCATGTTTGAAGTTTATTACATTGACACTCATATCCTTCATCACTCCAATATTTCTCCTTCATCTCTCATTTCTGCCATTTTTACACCATTCTCTAGTTCCTCTTAAATTTCCTGGCAGAGTGTAATGTGCAGTATGAAAAGAAAATTTGAAGACTATGGAAAATGAAGGTAAAAGGTTCAACACCACCATAACTAAGAGTCTGTTAGATTAGCTCTATCTTGATTATAACCAAATTAAGAACAAGTTAGGTAATTAGGTTAAGGTTAAAATAGTCCATGATCAAATAAATGCTTTAACCTATCATTTATATATTTATTTATTTATTTTTAATGGAGACTCTACTGTATGTTATCTCTCATCACTTTCTACAATTGCAACTTTTAAATTTAATGGTTTGAAAGCAAAAGTTTGGATAATGAATAGATCATAGCACTTCTGAGTTTCTCAATCATCAGCTATTTAAAGCAATGGTCAGAAACTAACTTCCCCACTAGCCTTCTGTAGAGCCCTTTGGAGAAATAATTCAAACAAATCTATCTGGTATAAGCATGGAGCTCTGCTGGCAAAAATCAATCCATGGCTCTTGAAGAAGCATGGAGGATTGTGTGAGAGGGTCCTCACCCTTCACACTGCACCTCTTACAGTTTGCTTATGCTTAGCCATTGGCTTCTCTAATCATTAACCACAAAGGGGTATATATGGAGGAACATAATTCTCTTTGAGTCTCATGATGCAGAGAAACATTCTCCATAGGTCAGAGAAGCTCTGGCTGCAGCCAAGCAAACCGGCAAGTCACAGAAAGGCAATGGACTCTCTCTCATTAAGGGGTCCTTATGGCTATGTAATTGACTCTATTATAGTCCTTCTTCTTCTTCTTCTTCTACAAGTAGAATGTAATAAACAAAGATGTTCTTTCTTTGAGAAGCTATAGCTACCAACTTGTGTTGTCCACAACACTCAATTTGCAGATGACTAGAATCCGGCTCTCTTCAGGTTCTGCAGATGAGTAGGTAGGTAATTATAACCTTGTAATCCTCTCTCTTTCCCTAACCTTCTTGTGTGTCTTAGTGTGTATGCTTGCTGTGTTGTGTGGCCTTATATGCAATAAAATAATTTCAGTAGTGCTTTAGCTCCTTAAAAGGGTAGGGTTATCTTCTACACAAGTTGATTGGTTAGAAAAGCTGCAAAACCCTCCTAGAAAAGTTGTTAAAAGTAAAAAATTACCAAGCCACTTTTGCACTCCACTTTCTGATTTTACTGAGATTAACTCTGGATAAAACAGCATTCACAAGTGGAAATTTTATTTGCTAAAATTCATATGAAGTCAATCACTAGTATTTGAGTGTTTGTTTTTCACCTCAACACACACTTTGCTTACCACCCTTTTTCGTTAATGGTTCATGAAATATAGAGTTAAAAATTGGAAGAACGAAAGACATTCATCACCATATCCCTTGTATATTTTCTACTAATAATTAACTGTCAGGAGAATACACTGTTTAAAAGAAATGTCATTTTGTCCCATTAATAGAATCTCAAACCCCATTAGGAAATTGGAAGAGAATTTAATTTCATCTATACCTATTAGCCAATGGGAGAGAGATTCTTCTTGTCTTAAATAGAATAGCCATTGTATCATAAGTAGAATCCCAAATCCTAAACCATCAGAAAAAAATTATCCTTTTACACAAATTTGATCCTGTATTTTCTATAACTGATGTATCAGAGAGATTCAGATAAAACTAAATAAAACATAAAAATTTCGTACCATTCCAAGTATTATGATTTGTGCTGTAAATACTACATACGTGAATACAAAATCCATTTACTTTTTTATTGAAAACGAACACCTTAAGAAAGTGTCTCGAACCTCAGAACCAAGGGAAGAATTGGCAAGCCAATCCACTTTCGTGTTTCCTTCCCTCGCTATCTTGTTCATTCTTATCAAACTATCACTAAAGGCATGCAGCAAAAAACTTATAGCATACATATGTTGAATACAACTATAACTATGCAAAAAGAATAAGAAACTGGTAGTGGAATGATTATGAGGAAATTTGTTCAGCTTTTCCAAGTTCCCCTTCCATATTTTAAGAGAGAAACATATAGCAGTTCATTCCAAGTATCTGTTACCCCTGGCAAGCACCAATGGCTACAGTCTTCGAATAGTGCAGTGGAGTTCTGATCCATTGATTTCTTATACTCCTTTCTGTATACCGAAGGATGGCCGTCTTTTCTGTAATCTGTAAGCCTACTTGTATTCATATACACTACTGGGGTTTTCATATGTTGAATGACACTTTCTAGAGCCCTCATTTTTGAAGGATACTTTTGTAAGTAAGTTTCATTAAATATTGGCTCAGTTTCTTTATGGCACTGTCCTCCTGAATTCCACTGGCCACCCCTGCAGAGTATTACAACTTACTCAAGGTATAACAGATGCATATCAATCTCTAAATTACTAAAATATACCACTGAAGTCACCATCACCTTGGAAAAGTCTTGGTAGCAAGATATGATTGTGGTTAAAACAAATCACAAAAGGCAAGTCTTATTGCCAGTAGCTAATTCAAATTACAAGGGTTAGTGGTTGGTCTAAATTATAACCAGATTTTCACGCCATCTAGCAGGTAAATTTCAATTTGCTTAACAAAGAACAAATCCAACCCAGTGGTGCAAAACTGATGTTTAAGCAATATATAGTAGAGTTAATTGTATTTTGTATCAGTTTACTACTGTATCAATACTAAAAGCAGGTGCACGCCATGCTGCAAGGAGGAATTTGTTTAAGTACTAAGCCAATAGCAATGATAAAAACAAAGTAACAATAAGCTAAAGAGGTTTTACCTAATAGGAAAGAAAAGAAACTAGAGAGTCTAAGGATAGCACGTTTTCAACTACCAACAACATTTTGTTTATCTCCTGATCAAACAGATCTATCAATTACCAAATGGTGGCATAATCCAAATTTTCTCACAATGAACTATTTCATGTTCATTATTGCATAGACATAATTGTGGATAGCCAAAAGAATAATGTGACAATCAATATAGATGAGAAAGGGCATTGGTAAACAAGTATTTCATAAGTGGCAGATATTTCCAGTTAGGAGCAGGCTTCCATTGAATTGTGGAAACTACGAAAAAGAGAACAATACCAGAAATGGGTGACTGAGTATCCTCGGAAGAAAACCTGAGTTTGATTGGCATTGATTTTTCTGTCAACCCATTTAGCCCAAGTTGTCAAGGCTCTGGTGTATGCATCCAGAACCTTGAGTCTTGCGTGTACATGGTTTCCTTCCTGATAATAATCTTCTCTGTAGCAGTACCAGATGACAGCAAAATTAAAAAAAAAAAAAAAAAAGAGTGCTTATTTGGAGGACATGAAACAAGCAATATATAACAGAACATAAATTAAGGAGAAAGGAAGACGAGAATTAGATATTTGATTGATAAACCAATCTCACATTACAAAGTTACAAACATCAGATAATGTGGTGTGTAGGAAATTGAACTCACCCTTTTGATGTTTTTTCATGGGTCCACCAATGCCCTGTGTTGAAGACTATGATATTAGCATCTTGATACCTGGTCGTAGTCCAGTCCATTAAATCCAGTCTTAATGTCTCAAATGATCCATTTTTTGACTTGAAAGTTGACTCTTGAACAATAAATGGCGAAGCAACAAAATCCACCGAACAATTATAATCCTAAAGTACAGCAAAAAGTTATAGTAAGAAACCATAACACTACAAGATTCACAGTAGACAAATATCAAACAAGTGAAGGAAACTCACCTCAAATCTAAAAGAATAGACACCTTTCTTCTTAAATTCCCTTCTTCCCGAAATTTCAAATACCCGTTTCTTGTTCCTGATGCTTTCACGGAGAATGCATACGAGTGACTCCCACATGTTCCTGTTCAATGAATCCCCCACAAAAACCAGCCTCTGTCCCCTCAACCTCTCCAGAAAATCGGTTGCATTCAAACTGAGAGGTAACAACATGATAACATCAATAAATGATCAAATACTAGAACAGTTGTACTTTGTTCTGAATAAAAGTGACTTCAACCACATCCAATTCATGTCCCAAACATAAAATTTATAATAAAGTAAAAGTCTTCTAATTCATATTGTGTTTATCATATATCTTACTTTCTCATCATTGTTACAGTAAATATGAAATATTGATCTCTTTTCCTCATTCCATTACAAGCTACTTTTCTGTTCTAGATTAACATTAACACTTCATATTCTTTACACACCAACAATTATTATATCTCTACCTTGGAATATTGCACCCATATGGCTGCCATCTCCATTTTACATATTCTGCATCGGGCCTCCCATTCAGGTGGCAGTTAAAATCTCTATCAATATGTGGACAAGACCCTAAAGGATAATATGGCTTTGATTCATCTCTTATCCACTTTCCATGAAAAATGTCACATTCCTCATGTAAACCACCCTGCATCTTTTCATTACGAGTGACAGTTACATTCCTTGAACTATTTTTCCCTACCAAATCCCCTTCATGTTTTCCTTTGTTACTACTCTCTGACAACAAATAAGAAGAAAAACTATAATTCTCCAAACCCTTGTCAACCTTTGTTTCATCCAATACATGATTCACACCATTTGTTCCATCCACAACTACAGCACTTCCCTCTTTAATAATCTTCACAGAATTTTTGTACTCATCAGACTTTGAAGTGTTAGAACTGCTGCTCCCAGAGGTAGAAGAGTGGCTAGTGTTGAAAGGCAAGAAGGGGCAAGAAGCAAGCGAAGAATTTGCACCAACAGTGTTTAGTTGTGGAACAAAGACGGCAACTTTGGGAACTCTGAGAGATTTACCAAGAATGAAGAGGGACAACAAAACAAGAGAAGCTACAACACCTAAACTGAACCATGAAAAAAGTCTTCTTCTGTGTGGCAAAAAGGGATCAGAGAAGGCGAGTCTCTTCACAGAGAAAAGAACATGCATGCTGCTCTTGCTACCAAAAGCGAAAGCTTGAGTATATCAGAGTGATTTTGGAGGTGTGGAACAAGTGAAGAAAACAATGTTCTTGGAGATTCAGAGTTGGGTTGGTGCAGGGTGTGGTGATGTTGTGTGTCTCCTTTTGAAAGAAAGCAGAGGAACAACACAGACAAAAACAAAATGAACCTGTTACAATAGGAGTAATAATACTATAATACCATGTTCCAACAAAAGGATTTCTATATACCTAAATATTATTTATATCTCCAATTTAAGTTAATTATAGTAAGTTTATTAATTTTCCCAATATTATTATATTTCAAAAAAATAAGAATATTTTTAGTCTTACAAGACAAGATGCAAAATTTTGAACTACAAAATACTCTTCCTTCTGTCATCATTAGAAAAGGTGAGTGAATAAAAGAAAAAGAAGCATATTTTTAAGCAAGCTTCAACTTTGCTCATATGTTGATCTAAGGCAGCATCTATACAAGACTCCATTGTAGGATCAATGGATTTAACAATTTACTCAATTGATGAAGACGCTGGTGTAGCTTGCTCGGATTTGGTACATGTAAAGGTGGTGTATTTGAATGTGTTCCTTTGTTTAGAAAACACATTTTTAGAAGAAGTATTCAGACAAAATATCTCAGCTTTGTATGATAATAAAAAAAAAAGATTTCATTGACAATTTAATTTGTGTTTTTGTTCTTTCTATCATCTCTTTCAGAGGTGGACTTTACATTTTTGTTTTTGAAAGCACAAATTTTGATTAATAGGAAAGATCAACACCAGTGTAATCTAATTCCTCGTTTCATGTGTAATCTAGTTTTTAAATTTGAATTTTCTTTATTTTCCTTTGAATTAAATTATTATTGGGAAATGACTTATTTTTCTTCTAAAAATGAGGGTAATAAATAAGTTATGTTCTCTGTTTGAATGATAACTAGTATTTTGTCACATAATATAACTTATTTTATATAATTAAAATTTAAAATAAATAAATAAATATATTTAATAATGTAACGTTCAGTTTAACGTATGAAAACTTAAGATGGAAATAAGAAAACAATTTAGGAATATAAAACTTAGAGCTATTAAATTAGTATATTAATATTAGCATCTTCATGACTATAGGAATTTAGAGTGTGTTTCTTTTAAAAAATAAAACCTTCCAGAATTTATGACACTTGACTTAAGATATATAAATGAAAATTTGTATTTATACTTTCAAACTAAATAATGTTTGAACTTAACTCTTTACATAATAATTTACAGCCAGTCAGGATAATTATTTTGTATATATTCAATTAGTTAAATAAGGTAACTAATATATGCATCAATTTCAATTTCATTATGTCAATAACAATTTTATTCAATTTCAGATCAATATTTTCTAAACTACTCAATTTTTAAATATTAATAACAGTATTTATAATATACATATAAATCAATCAAATTAAATTAGAACTATACACTTTAAATTCATTGAATAAATAAATCTATTCATATTTTACATGCAAACACACAACTATACATGTAAATATCACTGTAAAAGAAAAACAAATGGCTAGATCATGATATTATAAAGTTTATTGTCTCTAAAATTGTATCTTTTGATGAAAGAATACATAAAAAAACAATACTTTAAAGATATGTGAAAGAAATTTTTTTTAAAATAAAGTAAGTTTTGTAAAAAATGTTATTAAATAATTAATATTTTAATTTTGATATTAAATATAAACTTATTTTAATATTTTTAAATCATCTTTATTAAACTTAACCCTAGACGTTACAAATTACATTTTAGCTTTACAAGAATGACTGATGAGAAAATTGTAAATGTATAATTACCATCATCAGGTGAAATCATCAACTTTAATAGTTCATTGGAACAAAGATTGATTGGGAATAGAAACAAATAGTTTATAGGAATAGGTTTTACATAGTGTTTATCAAAGAATTTATTATTACCATCTCAATTCTTATAATGATTTGAAATTGAAGGCCAATCAATATTGTTCATTGTTATTTTCTTGTCAAGAATATATATAAAACTAAATTGATTTATACATTTCTGATAATTATATTCAATGAACTTATTTGCACTTTTCATATTGATTGTTTTTTATGATTAGATTTATGGTCGAAATTTAAAACATAATAAATATTTTTTTATATACTAATAATTATAATAAATAAAATAATTTTAAATTTATACATTTTATTTTATATTTATAATGTAAAGAGAAGAGATAGTGTAAAGAATTCTATTCTTTTAGCATAATAAAAGTTAAAGGATCAACTTAGAAATTTAATACCTTCTAAAATAATCTTCTTTTTATATTGTTTTTCAAAATTTGTTTTTTCTTCTATCAATTATATTTTAAATGGTTTTCCTTTTTAATTAAAAATATAAATAAATAAAATAGAAAACGTAACCACTATTTCTTAAAATTAAAACAATATTTTTACTTTTAAATTTTTATGAAACAATTTAAAAAAAAGTTGAAGTATATATCAAAATTAAATACATAAAAAAAAATTTATTTTCTCTAGATAAAATAAAAATATGTCGCATATCTAAAGAGTAACATGGATACATATTTTAAAAACTTATTACCTTTATAAGTATTTCTTTTTTCAAAAATTAAAATGAAAAAAATTGAAATTAAATTGTAAAATACATTAATTTGAAAAAAAGTACATTAGTTTGTCTCAATTTATATTTTAAGTATATTTTAACAAATTTTTGTTAAAAAGTTTAAAAAAAACTTTATTCTAATATATATATATATATATATATATATATATATATATATATATATAATGAAACATTAACTATTGTTATTCCAAGTTTATAAAACATAGAATAAAGTATTTATTCAGTAAGATTGTTTCAAGAGATCACATACTTACTGCCATTGTTAAACTGTAATTAGTTTAAGATAATAAAAAATTATAAAATTAGCATTCTTAGTTTGTAGTTTCAAACATTTATTATTCGTTATAACTATTTTTATTATATATTTATATTTTAGTTAATTATTAATTAATTATATATTCACAACTAAAGTTAAGATGAAAGACCTATCTTTGTTTTTATGTTTAATTTGACTGCGAAATATTTTTATTAAAGTAAAACCTCGATAAAGGGAAAGAAATTAGTAAAGAGAAGATAGGTTAAACATGCGGTGGTGTAAAGATAGATAGATGTAGGGGTACCACCGCATTCTATATAGTATGATAACGGAACACGTGTAGGGCCGATCTCGGCATGCACATCAAAACAAAGTTTCTCTGGAAGAAGTACAGGTGTAGCGAGAAGACATCGTAACTGTTGCAGCTTTAACGTTCTGCTTGTGCAGTGAATAAAGTTAATGTCTGCTACCACTGCCTGCCACATTAATTGGTAAAGTATGTGTGCTTATTTCATCACACCATAATTCATTCCCATTTTCAGAATAGTTTTTTCAACTTAAATCAATATATTTTTCTTTCTTCCTTATATATTGTTACTTAAATTTTAAATATTTTATAAATATAATTTTTTTATTATAATTTTATGAATTTTTTTTATTAAATATTTCAAAAGCATTTTGTTTTGTATATTTTCTTTTACTTTTGTTATTACTAAAACAAATAATTATATTAATTATTTTTATTATAAAAACCTAAAAAAATTGTGTTTTAAATGTGATACCATGTTTTAAATAATAAAGATTGGATTATCTAAATATTAAAAATTTAAAGTATAAAAGTTAATTATATATATGTTTTTATTTTTAGTGAATTTTCTTAAATAAGTTACTTACTTTACTTTTTTTTCTCAATTGTTTTTACTTTTGAAAAATTGGAGTAAGTTTTTATTCTTAATTTTGTACTAACACCATTAAAGAGATGTCATGTATTAGTTTCTGATTATTTTTATCTTTTAAATATTTTTTTAAATATTTTTATTTTTTATTTTTTATTAATTTTAAAAAAATAAAAAAATTGTCACGTGTTAAAGTGGTGTGACTGTCAATCACATGTTATTGCACTAGTCTCAATTTGGTTCTATATATTTATTTTATTTTAATTTGGTCCATTTATTTTTGTTTTATCTTAATTTAGTCCTATTCTTTTAAAATTAAACAATTTTTTCATTTTCCAAATTCAAACAAAATTTAATTTGTATATAAATCTTTATAAATATTTTTATTAAAATTGATATTTTTATTAAATATTTTTAATAAGATTAAGTTTATTTATATTATACTTAATTAATTATATAAATGTTAATTATGTTATTTAAATATAGGCTTAATACCACTGTTGGTCTCTATTTTTGTCAACTTTGTTCAATGCGAAACTCTGTTTTTTTTGGATGTTCAATGTAGTCCCTTATATCGTAATTTATGTTCAATTTTATCCTTTTGGCAAAGGACATTTAAATCGTTAACACCTAAATGTCCAAATGACCATTCAGTGAAGGACGTGGCCACTTAAAGGCATAGTTGAGAGTCAGCTTTGACACATCACCCTTGACACATCATCATCATCTCCTACCTCTAGAAACCCTAATTTTCCCTACACAGAATGTAACATCCCATAATCTCAGACTTGATAATTCATAGTTGATATATTGTAGTATTACATTTAATGTAACATCCCATAATCTCATACTTGATAATTCATAGTTGATATATTGTAGCATTACACACCATTCACAATGAATACAAAGGATTTCATACATGATATATATATGTTTTAAACTCAGATTTCAACTACAAACTCATAAATATAACTCGAACTTTTCTAATTTATTCTTTTATCTCTTTCTTCATTGGCACTGAATCAGACGACATTCCTTCATCTGCTCCCGTATAACGAATTATACGATCATCGCACAAACACAAACAAGTAGGGTGAGCTAACATGTAACAAATCATTTATAAAACATGCATAATTACTTTGATACACTCAACAAACATCATATAATAGTTATGTTAGACACCCTCATGCTATCATACAACAATCACACCATAGACACTCATCCCATCGTACCACAATCCCCAATAGACACTCATCCTATCATACCACAGACACTCATCCCATCGTACCACAATCCCCAATAGACACTCATCTGGATGATACGTTGATGAGCGGTCACGGGAGGTTATGCACTTGTGATGACATCTACTTCTCCTTACAAATACACTTCCAAAATACTTCATACCATCCACAAGGTTAGTCTTCAACACTATGTCCAAAACCGGCTCATAGACCAGGA